CCCAGAAAAATAAAGTCAGCCACTGTTTCCACTGTTTCCCCATCCATTTGCCATGAAGTGATGGGACCACAGCCATGATCTTAGTTTTCTGAATGTTGAGTTTTAAGCCAACTTTTTCACTCTCCTCTTTCACTTTCATCCAGAGGCTCTTTAGTTCCTCTTCACTTTCTGCCATAAGGGTGGTGTCATCTGCATATCTAAGTTATTGATATTTCTCCCAGCAATCTTGATTCCAGCTTGTGCTTCCTCCAGCCCAGCGTTTCTCATGATGTACCCTGAATATAAGTTAAATAAGCAGGGTGACAATATACAGGCTTAACATACTCCTTTTCCTATTTGGAACCAGTCTGTTGTTCCATGTCCAGTTCTAACTGTTGCTTCCTGACCTGCATACAGGTTTCTCAAGAGGCAGGTCAGGTGGTCTGGTATTCCCATATCTTGAAGAATTTTCCACAGTTTATTGTGATCCACACAGTCAAAGTCAATAAAGCAGAAATAGATGTTTTTCTGGAACTCTCTTGCTTTTTCAATGATCCATCAGATGTTGGAAATTTGATCTCTGGTTCCTCTGCCTTTTCTAAAACCAGCTTGGAACATCTGAAAGTTCATGGTTCATGTATTGTTGAAGCCTGGCTTGGGGAATTTTAAGCATTACTTTACTAGTGTGTGAGATGAGTGCAATTGTGCAGTAGTTTGAGCATTCTTTGGCATTGCGTTTCTTTGGGATTGGAATGAAAACTGACCTTTTCCAGTCTTGTGGCCACTACTGAGTTTTCCATATTTGCTGGCATATTGGGTACAGCACTTTCACAGCGTCATCTTTCAGGATTTGAAATAACTCAACTGGAATTCTATCACCTCCACTAGCCTTGTTCATAGTGATGCTTCCTAAGGCCCACTTGACTTCACATTCCAGGATGTCTGGCTCTAGGTGAATAATCACACCATCGTGATTATCTGGGTCATGAAGATCTTTTTTGTAGTTCTGTGTATTCTTGCCACCTCTTCTTAATATCTTCTGCTTCTGTTAGGTCCATAGCATTTCTGTCCTTTATTCAGCCCATCTTTGCATGAAATGTTCCCTTGGTATCTCTAATTTTCTTGAAGAGATCTCTAGTCTTTCCCATTCTGTTGTTTTCCTCTTATTTCTTTGCATTGATCACTGAGGAAGGCTTTCTTATCTCTCCTTGTTATTCTTTGGAACTCTGCATTCAAATGGGTATATCTTTCCTTTTCTCCTTTGCTTTTCACTTCTCTTCTTTTCACAGCTATTTGTAAGGCTCCTCAGACAGTCATTTTGCTTTTTTGCATTTCTTTTTCTTGGAGATGGTCTTGATTCCTGTCTCCTGTACAGTGTCACGAACCTCCATCCATAGTTCATCAGGCACTCTGTCTATCTAGTCCCTTAAATCTATTTCTCACTTCCACTGTATAGTATAAGTGATTTGATTTAGGTCATACCTGAATGGTCTAGTGGTTTTCCCTACTTTCTTCAATTTCAGTCTGAATTTGGCAATAAGGAGTTCAAGATCTGAGCTACAGTCCCGGTCTTGTTTTTGCTGACTGTATAGAGCTTCTCCGTCTTTGGCTGCAAAGAATATAAGTGGTCAGATATATGAGGCATCTGGGTTTCAGCACTGGATCACAAGCAGTTCAAGCCTGTGTTCCCTGAAAAAGGAACTCACAATGTGAGTCTCATTTATGATAACCCTGCTGTCTGACTGGGGACAAGTTAGGGTTTTTGTTGATTGTATTTTGCCCTCACCCGGAAGCATGCAGGGGTCTTAGTTCCCCAACCAGGGATCAAACCTGTGCCCCCTGCACTGGGAGCATGGTTCTTTAACCATCAGACCACCAGGGAAATATTGGGACAGCCTCTTGACTACAGTGTGGTGAGCTGGAGTCCAGGTGGCAATCCATCTGAGCTAAGGAGGCAGAGAACAGAGTTGGAACAGCTGGAATCTATAGGGCCAGGACCCCAGAAGCAGAGGATACACAGAGTAGGGACTTTAAATGTCAGACAGGGGATTCCTCATATACCGCATGACCAAAGGCTGTGCTGTGCACGGTCAGACTCATATCACAGAAGGCTTCCAGAAAGCAGCTGCTACAGAGTTAAGCCTGGAAAAGAGATGTTAGTGGTCAAGCAGTGCTTATTAAAATTTCCCTAGCACTTTGGATATCTTCCAAGACAACAAAACACTGCCTTTTGGAAGTAAGACCTATGCCTTTTTCCATATCTACCCAAATAAAACCTAAAACCAAACCCTGACAAGATCTCCTGGAAGGCAAAGTGCAGAAATTGAGTCCCATCAAATGAGAGGCTGGAAAACCCCTCCAAACATCTTTCCAAACATCTATCCTAACAAAACAGATTACTAAAGCCAAGATTGTAAAGTGCAAGTTGACCAGCCAGTAATTGAACTGCCCACTGAAATAAAATCAAAATTTTCCAGAATCTCTACAATGTGCTATCAAAGATGACTGCTGAATAGCCAAATCCATAAGGAAACAAGAAAACATGAGTCATATTCAGCAAAAAAAAAAAAAAAGACTGTCAAAAAAATTCATCCCCCAGATTACTTATGTGTTGGATTTAACAAAGACTTTAAAGCAGCAACTGTAAATATGTTCAAAGAGCTAAAGAAAAGTTGTTTTAAAAGTAAAAGAAAGTATGGTTAGCCATAAGTAAATAGATAGGAAATCTCAGAAGAAATAAAAAATTTAAATATAAATTGTACAACTTCAAGTAAAATGACTAAAATGAGAGAATAGGGGTTAACAGTATCTTAGAGCTGGCATGAGAAAGAATTAGTGATAGTGAAGATATACAAAAAGCAATAATTCAACCTGAAAAGCAGAGAGAAAATATTGAAGAAAAACATACAGAGCCTCAAGAGGTCTTAATTATTGCAATTGGAAAATGATAGATAGATGATAGATACAGACAGAAGAAAGAAAGGATGCGGGGGAGGGAGTGAGAAAGGGCATGATTTGAAAAGAGAAATGGATTTATCTCTATTTATAGACCATATGAGTTTCTCTACATAAAATTTCAAAGGAATCTACAAAATTTTTTTGGAATTGATTAGTGAATTTATTAATAACTAGAAAAGTTTAATGTATAAAAATCAATTATATGTCTATACCCCAGAAAAAAATTGGAAAATTGAATTAATTGAATAAATTTAATTTGAAAAGCACATGATCTCTACACTAAAAGCTGCACAGCATTATGGAGATCCATTACAGCAGACTAATTGGAGAGAAATATACAGTATTACAAGTTCAAGTTCATAAACTAGAAGGCTTCATATGGTGCACATTCTCCTCAAATTTGCATTACAGAGTCAAGCAATTTTACTTAAAAGTCATAGTAGTAGACATTAGTAAGCTCATTCTAAAATTTATATATAAATAAAAGGACCTAGAATAACAAAAACCATTTCAAAATCTAAGAACAAACTAGAATAATCACACCATCTCATTTTAAGACTTACTGAAAGTCACAATAGTCAAGACAATGTGGTAATGATATAATGGTAGACAAACATACCATGAAAATAAAATAGAGTCCAAAAACCTATATACATATGTGTAACCAACTGATTTTTCACAAAAGCCAAAATTTCATCAAATAGAGAAACATATTCACTTCATCAAGAGATGCTGAAACCACTAGGTATCTGTATTAAAAAAAAAAAAAGAATATTGACCCCTAACTCACAACATAAATAAAATTAACTTGATAAAATTCATACTTAAATTTAAAAGTAAAAGCAATAAAATTCCTAGAGGAAAATATAGGAGAAAATCTTTGTAAATTTTATATAGGTAAAGATTTAGTAAACCAAATACAAGTAATGACTGACACTTTGGACTTCACCAAAACTAAAAATTCTGACAGAGGTGGATCAGAGTAAGGCCAGGGCAGCCAAATCACGCATGTTCAAAGTCAGTTTCTGTCTTTTTTAAAAGTTTGATATTTTGCTCATCATGAGCTTTCTATATTAAGTTTAATTTTTAAAATATTGGATTAACTTTTTTATCTTGAGTACTTAGTTTCCAGTACCCCTCTAACTTCCATGCCTGAGACAAATGGCTGCTTCTCCTCACCCTTGTCCGCGCCTTGATCCCGTCCTTCCTACGTTCTGAACTCTGTATCCTCAAGTCACTGGGAGCCACAGGCTGGCTTTTCGTTTTCCCTCCCCTTTATGTAGTCAGAACACCCTTCCCAGTTCATGACCTGGGGCAGCTATAGAAAGCACCTCAACTGCTTGTCTTCTCCTGGAATCACTCTCCATTTCCCATCTTCCAATGAGTGAGCATCATTTTTCATATGTTTTGCTAGTTCTCTACTATCTTAAGAAATGAAGGTAATTCTGGCCCTGAACTCCATTATACCTGAAGCAGAAGTACTTGCAGGAGTTTTGAAATGTAATTTTATACCTAGTGTTTGTACATTTAAGTGAATGTGGCAACTTCTCAATATGCCTCAATTTATACTGGTTTAGAAGAGAGGTTTATCCAAAAAAATGTTAAATATTACTAATCTTTAATCTATATTAACATTTTGCAGGTAGCCTAGTTGACCATTAATTTTTATAATGTTGCCTTTTATTAAGCCTAAAAATATTTGGTAATTACTTGCAAGAATGCTGTGGAAAGTACACCAAACTTAAGTTATAGACAACGTTGGAGTATGTGACATATGACTGTTTGTAACAGGATCCATGATGAAAGATCCAGAAGTTTCTGGGTTCCTTGAGTGACAATGAAGTTATTTCTGTCTCGCATGTGAAGATGTGTTCCACCTGCATGAAGCAGGCTAGAGATACAGAAAATTCATATACTTGTCTCTATTGCTATGAAAGTTTGAAAGATGTCTTATGTTTACTTCCCAATTCAGGGATAAAGCATAAATTCCAAGAAGGTGGACTAGACTTAGAGGGAAAGGTCGGTTGCTCTCAAGTTGCTGGTCTCTGGGCTAGAATCAGGAGATGGAGGTGGGAACTGCCAAGAGGACAAGGAGGCTTCAGGTTCCTCTCTACGAAATGAAGATCAGAGACAGCAGGAGGTTAGAGGCATCAGCTTGTACACTCCTCAGACCTGAGAGTGGAAAGAATAGCTTGTGACCCAGCAGCTACTGCCCCCCACCCCCGCCCCATTAGCGGGCCTTAAATATTTCATCCAGAGGGAGAGGTCATTTCACTCTCTTGTGATCAACAGCATGCACTTTACTATAGAGAGCAGTAATCATGTAACAACAACAAAGAAATTTGTACTCATAAATTTTCTCCCTAAGGAATAAGACATTATTTAGATTAGATTAAGGAAGCTATCTTTTTCCTTCCTCTTATTTACCAACCATAGAGCAAGCTTCAGCATCTTCAAGCATTGCAACAACATATGCTTATTGTAATATAAATAAGAAAGAAACTGCAACTCTGCAAGGCATAAGAGACCCATTCATTCTTTCTTTTTTCTTTTTTTTAGTAAATTGATTTCTTTAGATAATATTGGTTTGCATCAAGTCATATAGTATTTTTGCTTGGAAAAATAAAGTTGTTAGTCTAATAGAAAGTTCCTAATTTCACATTGATAGATGATCATTACTCTAATAGATCTAACTAAATGTAATTGGAGCATAATCCCAACTGTAATTTTCTTTTTACTTATTGAAAAATGCAAAATCTAATTATCTTTTATGCAGAATTTACACATTTTATAAAGGCCTTGACATATGGTTTCAGTCATTGATTCTCTTTGCTATACAGTGAAAACTAAGACAACAGTGTAAAACAACTGTACTCCAATAAAAATTAATTTAAAAAATAAAAAAATTTACTAAATCATGGATGACTGCTCTGATTTGAAAGTATTTCCAGTGAGGACACTGGTAACCGTAAACATGTTCCGATGGTCTTCTGAAAGCACGTGATTGTTGAATTAAAGAGGCCCATTCATTCTTAAAATGATTCCATGTTCTCCCTGCTGAGGCTGCCAGCCATCTGCCAATTGTGACGTATTTTATGATGTAGACCAAGGGAGCTGGACAAGGAACACAAATTAATTTCCTTCCCAACAAATGACAAAACATATCATGAAACTGGATCACTTAAAGCAGTGACCGCTGGGTCTTGTCTTCTACCCCAGAGAAAACAGTTTCTCCTCTTTGACAACTGCTTTAAACTTAGAATGAACTCAGCAGTTCTTGCCCCTGTGGCCACAGCTGCCTAAGCCAGGTCTGTAAACAGAATGTTTGGGAAGGACTGTACTCTGATCCAAACCTCCCAAATTAGACAAGCTAATCAACGCCCAGGAAACTATATGATTTACAAAAAATCAGCATAAATCAAAGACATACGACTCACACACTTATCCAATTATGAGTGTCAGGAGTACCTTTCTTACTTGCCTTATCCTGTCTACACAACTTAAAGATAACTCTGTTGTTGTTCAGTTGCTAATTTGTGTCCAATTCTTTGCAACCCATGGGCTGTAGCCCACCAGGTTCCTCTGTCCATCAGTTTCCCCAGGCAAGAATGCTGAAGTGGGTCACTATTTCCTTCTCCAGTGGATCTTCCTGGACCAGGGATCAAACCTGTGTCTCCTGCATTTGCAAGCAGATTCTTTACCACTCAGCCAACTGGGAAGCCCCAAAGATAAGTATACTTTTATCCAAATTATGAAACTAGCTTGCAAATATGTGATCAGGCTTCTAAGAGAGCCAACTAAAAAATCTAATTTAGTAAGTATAAAATTAAATTGAATTTGTAAAAACATCAAGGAAAAAGCAGGTACTAATTCCACTGAAAATCACTTGAGTGTTTATAATGTACAAGGGTGGGCTAAGTTGTAAGGAGGCTAAGGGGGAATATGAAAGAAATTTAAGATAACCTTGAGCATCAGCTATGTATTGCTGCCAAAACAAAACAAAAAATGAAGCTGAGCATGTTAAGACAACAATTTATCATATTTCGGGATTTTGGGGGCTGACCACGCAGTTCTTCCAATCTCAGCTGGACTCTGTGTCTGCTGTAGGCTGGTGGCTTGACCAGAACAGGGTGCCCTGATGACCTGGGGCCTAGGTAGGAAAGTCTGGAGTGACAGATAAATGGGCGTCTCTCCACTTGCTCTTTCATCCTGGGCTTCTTCACTGTGGCCGAGCACTGCAAAGAAACAAAGCTGCAGTCTTCTTGAAACCCCCACAGCACTGATTCTATTATGCTCTGTGGGACAATGGGAGGAGAAAAAGTCCAGCTTAGATGTAAGTGATGAGTATACGTTCAAGTTGGCTATCTATTTTATATACAGTAGTGTGTAAATATTAATCCCACACCCCTAATGCATCTATCCTCCCTTCCCTTTTGGTAACCATAAGTTTGTTTTGTCTATGGGTTAATTTCTGTTTTGTATGTAAGTTCACTCATATTTTCTGAAGATTCCACATATAAGTGATATCATATGATATTTGTCTTCCTCTGTTTGGCGTGTGTGTGTGTGTGTGTGTGTGTGTGTGTGTTAGTCACTCAGTCGTGTCTGACTCTTTGTGACCCCATGGACTGTAGCCTGCCAGGCTCCTCTGTCCATGGGATTTTCCAGCAAGAGTACTGGAGTGGGTTGCCATTTCCTTCTCTAGGCTGTTTGGCTTACTTCATTTAATATATGATAAGCTCTGGGTCAATTCATGTTACTGAAAACTGCACTATTTCATTTATGTTTATGGCTGAGTAATATTCAGTTGTATGCACACCACATCCTCTTTATCCATTCATCAGTGGATATTTAGGGTGCTTCCATGTCTTGGCTATTGTAAATAGCATTTCTGTGAACACTAGCATGCATGTATCTTTTCAAATTATGGTTCTCTCTAGATGTATACTTAGGAGTGGTATAGCAAGATCATATGACAGCTGCAAGCCAGGCTTCAACAGTATATGAACCGTGAACTTCCAGATGTTCAAACTGGATTTAGAAAAGGCAGAGGAACCAGAGATCAAATTGCCAACATCCACTGGATCATCAAAAAAGCAAGAGAGTTACAGAAAAACATCTACTTCTGTTTTATTGACTATGCCAAAGCGTTTGACTGTGTGGATCACAATAAGCTGTAGAAAATTCTGAAAGAGATGGAAATACCAGACCACCTGACCTGCCTCTTGAGAAATCTGTATGCAGGTCAGGAAGCAACAGTTAGATCTGGACAGACTGGTTTCAAATAGGGAAAGAAGTATGTAAAGGCTGTATAGTGTCACCCTGCTTATTTAACCTATAGGCAGAGTACATCATGAGAAACACTGAACTGGATGAAGCACAGTCTGGAATGAAGACTGTCAGAGGAAATATCAGTAACCTCAGATACGCAGATGACACTGCCCTTATTGTAGAAAGTGAAGAAGAACTAAAGAGCCTCCTGATGAAAGTGAAAGAGGAGAGTGAAAAGTTGGCTTAAAACTCAATATTCAGAAAACTAAGATCATGGCATCTGGTCCCATCACTTCATGGCAAATAAAGGGAGAAACAGTGGAAACAGTGACAGACTTTATTTTGGGGGACCCCAAAATCACTGCAGATGGTGATTGCAGCCATGAAATTAAAAGATGCTTACTCCTTGGAAGGAAAGTCATGACCAACCTAGATAGCGTATTAAAAAGCAGAGACATTACTTTGTCAACAAAGGTCTCTCTAGTCAAGGCTATGGTTTTTCCAGTGGTCTTGTATGGATGTGAGAGTTGGACTATAAAGAAAGCGGAGCACCAAAGAATTGATGTTTTTGAACTGTGGTGTTGGAGTAGACTCTTGAGAATCCCTTGGACTGCAAGGAGATCCAACCAGTCCATCCTAAAGGAAATCAATCCCAAATATTCATTGGAAGGACTGATGTTGAAGCTGAAACTCCAATACTTTGGTCACCTGGTGTGAAGAACTGATTCATTGGAAAAGGCTCTGATGCCGGGCAAGATTGAAGGTGGGAGGAGAAGGGGACGACAGGGGATGAGATGGTTGGATGGCACCACCAACTCAATGGACATGAGTTTGAGTAAACTCTGGGAGTGGACAATGGACAGGGAGGCCTGGCGTGCTGCAGTCCATGGGGTCACAAAGAGTCATACATGACTGAGGGACTGAACTGACCGAACTGAACTGATGTTTAGTTTGTTAAGGAAGCTCCATACCATTCTCCATAGGGGCTGCACCAATTCACATTCCAAACAACAGTGTAGGAGGGTTCCCTTCTCTCCATACCCTCTCAGCATTTGCCGTATGTAATTTTGAATTACATTTCTCTAATAATTAGAGATGTTGAGCATCCTTTCATGTGCCTAATGGCCATATGTATGTCCTCTTTGAAGAAACATCTATTTAGGTCTTCTGCCCATTTTTTGATAGGATTGATTTTTATTTTTTTGATACTGTACTGTATGAACTATTAGTATATTCTGGAGATTAACCCCTTGTTGGTAGCATCATTTGCAAATATTTTCTCCCATTCTATAGGCTGTCTGCAGTCATATAACCCTGAATGTGTCCAATCTCATCTCATCTCAGAAGCTAAGGTGGGTCAGGCCTGGTTAGTACTTGGAAGTTCAGTTCAGTCGCTCAGTCGTGTCAGACTCTGCAACTATGGACTGCAGCACGCCAAGCCTCCCTGTCCATCACCAACTCCCTAAGCTTGCTCAAACACATGCCCATCGAGTCAGTGATGCCACCCAACCATCTCACCCTCTGCCGTCACCTCTCCTCCTGCTTTCAATCTTTCCCAGCATCAGGGTCTTTTCCAGTGAGTCAGTTCTTCACATCAGGTGGTCAAAGTATTGGAGTTTCAGCTTCAGCATCAGTCCTTCCAATGAATATTCAGGACTGATTTCATTTAACACTGACTGGTTTGATCTCCTTGCTGTCCAAGGGATTCTCAGGAGTCTTCTCCAACACCATAGTTCAAAAGCATCAATTCTTCAGCACTCAGCTTTCTTTATGGTCTGATTCTCACTAATACATGACTACTGAAAAAACCATAGCTTTAACTAAGTGGACCTTTGTTGGCAAAGTCATGTCTCTGCTTTATAATATGCT